AGCAGTGCCGAGTAGCGTGTTAGGGATGTGGCTCAGGAGTCAGACTTCCAGCCTTTACATCTGCCTTCCAAGCTGCTTAAACTTGGACTTGCTTATGCATTTCTTCGAGCCTCTCTTTCCTCATCTGTAACATGGGAATGGTGATCTCGATCTCATAAGGTATTGTGGGAATGAAATAGACTACAGTCTTCAATATGATGCCTGGAACTTGGTAAGCAAGCATTCAGTAATTAAAGCAGTTATATATATTTATATAATATAAAGCTATTTAAATAAACACACCCTGGTTAATGAAGGAGGAGCATGAAAACATCAGACACAATTGAGGGCTGCGTAGTTGAGTGCACGAATGTAACTCCGGCAGTAGGAATTCAGCTCCTTAAGCATTTTCTTGCTGTTTCCTCATCTTGATGTGTCAATCCCATCATGGGTTGTGGCCTTTGTGCCCTTGACTACTTCCGTGTCTGATGCTGGCTGCATCAGGCCAGCCAGTGAAATGAAACCAGTCGTGAGAGTGGAATGAGAAGTCAGAAGGTCGTGGCAGTTATGTCATCTGTGTCTCCAGCAATGGGAATGGAAGAATGAGATGTTTCAGCTGGTTTTCCCTTAGAACCTTCTGGTGGTGAAAGGGGACCAGACCTCAATTCAGCGTGCTCTTAACTAATTGGTACCCTCAGCTGGTAATTCCATCTTGCTGTGAGTGAAATCTACACCATTCTTGAGTGCTGACTTGGTGCTTGACAACAGCCTAGAGGCTTGAGTTCAGAGGCGGATTCTTGTCTTCGAGGCACTCCATTTTAAGTGGGAAGAAAGACATGCAAACACCAACACTCCAGTGTGACCAGTGCTGCAGTGAAGGAGACACAGGGAAGGGACCCTCAATACTCTGTCTCCCAAATATTCAATTGGCTTTTCTAGGCCAGTTTCCCTAAAGTTTGAAATCATCCCTGGCTGGTTTTTCGGGATACAGATGGGAGTTGGCTTCAGTGTGTTTGAGGAAACTTCATTCTTCTTAAACTTGCCATTGATTTTTTTCCTGCTCCTCTCCCACAGTCAACCTCTTTCGCGGATACTGAATATAATAAAATACCTTCCTTTTAAACACTTTTCAAGCTGACTGTATGCTTGTTCTCCCCATAGCTTTGGGAAGGATCATGTTTCTCATTTTACAACAGAGGAAAGTGAAGTTTAGAAAGTGTTTATGACTCATCAGGATCCTCATGTGAATATACCTGAGCTAGGATTCAAACTCGGGTTTCCAAACTGTTCTTTCCCGTCTGCCACCCCCAGACTTGTTTTCTCTCTTTCTTTGGCCACAGGGAAAGTACACCCCCCACTGGACTGTGTCCAGAGCTTTCAACATAGTGGTCAGAATCTTGCCCTGGTTCTTGCCCAAGATTCCCGAGGGAGATAGCTAGACCTAAAGCAAGTTTTAAAAACTCAGTGACGATAATTACAAATGAATCCCGTCACGATGACTTAATGATGCTTCTGGTAGTGTCTAGACTCTCACATTTGCATAAACAGCAGAAGGGGAGGGAGAATCCATTTCCCAAAGTCAACTTGGGGGGAAGCAGGGAAGCATAATGGATTCAGAACAATCTTCTCCCCTTACCAGGGAAAGTCATCAAAACCAGCGTTCTTCACGCTGTTGGGTGTCCCCAAATCTCTCCCACATCTTATTAAAATGTAGATTCTGTTTCAGTAGGTCTGGGTGGATGTGAGATCTGCATTTTTAACTAACTCTCTGGTGGTGCAGGGCTGCTGGTCCAGGACACAATTTTGAGTAGCAAGGATTTCAACCACTGACTCTCAAATTTAGCTAAAAGTTTGAGAACATAAAATAATCCTGATGTCTGGGTTCTAACCCCAGAGATTCTAATTTAATTGGTCTGGGATGTGAGCTGGGCATCAGGCATTAAAAACTTTCTTAGTTGATGCTAAGGTCCACTAAAATTTGATTTAAACTCTCTAGGGTGAGTATACTCACTTACAAAATGATTAGAATAGCATGGAGCTATCTGATAGGGGTAGGAAGAGAAATGGATTAAATGGCAAATATGCTACATCCAGCTCAGAGAAGGGGTTTAATAAACTAAGTGAAGTTTGTCTTTTTCCCTTCCAGATTCTCAGATGGCACAGGTGGATTCTGTTTTCTGAAAATTCCGCCTTTCTTTTGGCAGCCTTTTGACTTTCCTGAATGCTCAAAAGCATTCCTAAGAAAAAGGGGGCTTTTGATCCACATTTCTGTATTTTATAAGGAGATTTTATTCCTTTTTAAATTTTTTGGATGGCTTATTTGGTATCCTTTCCTTAGAATGGGGCTTGTGTTTAAAGAGATTTTTCTTTGATTACTCCTTTAAGAGATAGTTATTGATTGCTGTCTAGTCTGTCCCAGGAGCTGGGCTGAGCTGTGAGGACCCAGTGCTGAGTAAGATTGATAGGGTTTCTGCCTTCAAGGAGTTTGGATGTTGGAGAGGAACTATATAGGAACCAGGGTGAACAGTATAGTGTCACGCACTTAAGGATGGGGCAAGTGTGGAAGAAGAGAGAATGGAATTACGTAAGGCCAGAAGAGTCAGGAAGACATCTCTGACGAATGAGGACAATGATAAGAGTTAACTAGGCAAAAGAGAGTGAAACAAGTATTCTAGGCAGATGGAGGAACATCTGCAAACATCTGGTGGCCAGGCTGAGCACGGAAGGCTTGAGGAATTGGGGGAAGTTCAATGGGACTTGAACGTACAGTGCAAGGAAGTGGGAGCTGGGCGTGAAGCTAGGGAGAAAGGCAGGATCTAGATGGAGAGGGAGCTGCCTCAAAGAGCGTAGATTTTAGGAAGGCTGATTCCTAATGACTGGGGAGCATGGAATGTTGGATTGTGGATGCTCACAGACCAGGACTTGAATCCCAGCTCTACTACCCACTGGCTGTGTGATATTGGCCATGCTACTCAATGTCTCAGAGTCTCAGTGTCATTGTCTGTAGTGTGCGGATCATAATGCCTACCTCATGGGGCTGTTTTGAGGATTAAGTGAGGGAGTACATGAAAAGTGCATAGCATGGAGGAGCTTGATAAACGATCATGATTGCTATCAATCCTGAGGACAATGAAGAGTCATTATTGCTGTCTGGAGATGGGATTTGTAAGGAGTGAGGCGGGAGACAAGGATGTGAGTTAGGAGGTGATGAGAGTAAGCAAGTAAGATGATGGTGGATGGGACCAGAGAACTGGATGAGTTGGACAGAAGTTGGTTGGATGGGAAATAGGAAAGCAGGGTCATGAGACTGTCCTTAAGATGGAAAACATAGGAATAGTGACAAGTTTGGGGTGAGTATCTTGAGGTCAGTTTTGTACATGTTGAGATTGAATCCATCAGGGATCAGTTACAGAACACACCACTCCAGTTTGTTTAGCAGGAAGGCATTTATCACAGGGTATTAAAATGGCTTGTAGAATTGTCAAGAGAGCTGAGGAAACAGAATCCAGGTTGAACTTTCAGAAGTAGCCTCTTACCCCACTCCTATGAACAGGGTTGCTGTGGTAGCTGCCGTCTCTTCAATAATCTTCCACTCAGGAACCTGCCCCCTCTAGAGCCGCGACACCGCTGTTTTGAACAGGAAACCACCACAATCAGGAAGCTGCTGCTGCTGCCAGTTCTAGAAACAATGTGAATCTGCAACAGACCATGTCAGCAGAATGGATGCTCCTCTTCTCCCCCCAGACTCGCCACACGTGCTGATCTAGTATGTGAACACTGGGACCTTTGCAAATGCAGTGGTAGAAAATCCAAATGCCTCTACAGTTGGGCTTGCCAGCTGAATGGACAAATGTTCCAAGATCTTGTCCATTTTGGACTAAACTATTCTAGAACCCAAGCTGTAAGAGAATAAGGAAAGTTTATTTTTAGCTTTCCAACTTCTGGAGCAGAGAAAGTCACCCTAGAACAATATTTTGCAAACTGGGTTGTGACTCATGAAAGCATCGTAAAATCAGTTCAGGTGGTCACAAGATTTTTTTTCTTAGTCACAAATAGGAAGGGTAGGTATTACTTAATGAAACTTTTGTCTTAGGGTTTTGTGTGTGTGTGTGTGCATCCTAGTTTGCAAAGTAAAGCATTTCTTCCTCTGGGTCATGGTAAAAAAACCTCGAGAGTCACTGCACTAGACTTTGAGCATCCATCTTCCATTGCAAGAACTCAGAAAGAACTAATGGGTAGAGCCCAGTGGCTACTGAATCCATGGGGTAGGATTTTTGGAGAAAATCAAAGCTGGAGATATAGATTATGAAGTAAGTGGCAAGAAGATGACATTTGGAGCCGTGGGAGTTGATTAAGTGACCCAGGGAGAGAGTGTGGAATGCAAAGAGAAAGAAGTCTGGAACAGACCCCAAGGAACACAGACCTTTGATCTTGAGGGAGAAATTTCCTTCTGGGGTTGTGCTCGTCCTTCTTGCACTCTGGTATTTCTCGTTTCCAGAGAGCTTTGGAAAGGCACACTTTGAACACATACTGACTAGAACTGATTTGCAGCATCCTGTCAGAGCCATAGCATCCGTCATGCTGGATCATAAACTGACACCTGGCTTGAGGGCCTGGCCCCACACTGACACCCAGGGCTTAATGTGGACGGATGAGCAGAGCAGAGAAGTTCTTAGGAAAGATGGAAGGAGCTCTCCAGATTCCAAAGCTCCAGCTCATGAGCTGTGACCACAAAGAGATCTACCGCCACCAGCCAGTAGCTCTTGGGTACTATTTATAATTTCTAAAGAGTATTTTTGCTGTATAGAAAATAGCAACAAGGGGTGGGAGCTGTACAGGAAGATGTGCTTATCGCAACAAAATCAGGAGGCAAACTAAATCTGCCAGAGAGTGGGCAAACTGGTATATTCAAACAATGAGATAGTATATGGCAGTTAAATGAGTGAATCAGAGACCTACGTGTATCAGTCCAGATAAATCTCAAAAACTTTATGTTACATGAAAAAAGTCAAGCCACAGAATATTATATAAAGCATGATATTTATTAAAATTTAAAAAACCACACAAAATTGTACTACATATTCTTATGGAAAAACAAATATAAAATTACATAAGCAAAGGGGGTGCCTTGACGTCCGGAGAATGGCTCTGGGGAGGGCGTAGGGAAATGGATGAGGAGTGAGACTTTAGCTCAATCTGTATTGTTTACTCTTTTAAAAGAGGCAGAAGAAAATATAGCAAAATATTAATAGTTATTAAATAAGCTGATGAGGCATGGGAAAAATATTATTTTCTGTTCTTTTCATAATTAAAAATAAATACGAGTGTATATCAATTTTGCAATGCCAGAGCAAGATTCAGACTTATTTCCCTGATCCTAGGTTAAGCAGATGACCTGTAAAACAATTGCTAAGGAAAAGTATATATATACACACACATACACAGATATGTACATGTACATATATGTGTGTATAATACACATACGTACATAATACACATACATGCATTTTCTATACATATACACACATATATGCATAACTTCAAGTTAAAACAACAAGCTTCTAATTTTTTTATTTGAAAAAATATTGACCATATCATATATCTCTTCAGTTTCTGAGAGAGAGAATTTCATATCATGAGACCCTAACCCTTTTCTGTGATTTGACCATGTCCTGAATCTACAGACCATCTGTGTGTCATGATAAAATGATGATCCCAGAGTGACTGGAGTGGGGACAAAGCAGAGGAAATCCCTGAATGCTGGGGACTATTCCAGTGCAAGACTTGAAAGATGTCAGGTGGGGAATTACAGACAGCCTACAGAGGAGGACTGAAAATCCTGGTGGGAAATAATGGAGACAGGAGTCGGGAGGCTGGGCTCAATCTTTGCTCTGTCACAAATCACATGTGAGGACTTGACCAGTCCTTGCCCCATGTTGGGCTTCCATTCAAACATTGGCTTAGCTGATCTCTCAGGATCTTTCTAGAGATGACATTGACTGACTGCTTTATCCTCTTAATTTAAAAGCTTTGTCCCCTGGTTCCAGAATAATCAGTAGTATTCCAGGGATTCTGGGGGGCTCCCTTCTTTGGTAAATTCTGCCCAGTTTCCTTCAGCACTTTCTCCCTTTAGAGACTGTTCATATCAACCCTTCTTGGGTACTGGACCATTCTCCGAGCCAGGCTTTGTGTGACTGGAAGATTCTGAGAAGGAATTGGATAGGGGCTTTATAGGAGGCATCGGTGGGCAAGAGAGAGACTGGGTGAAGAAAAACTTAGCAAATGTGCAGAAAAAAGTCCTGTGAATTTTCCCAAGGGCAGAAATACATTTAGTCTACACTGACTTGCTATTTTTCATCAACTCACCCATCACCTTCCTCAAGCACAGGTTCTACAAGCATACTCTGTGTGTGTGTGTGTGTGTGTGTGCGCGTGTGTGTGTGTGTTGGGGTTGGAGGGCTCACTTTACTGAGTTCCAGTTGCGTTTTCACCAAAGAGGCATTTGTTTCAGGTAGCCTGGGTTCCCAGTTAGAAAAATTATTTGTTTCACTTGCATAGATGATGCCATTGGTTCATAACATTCCCAGGCGCTGGTTAACCCTCAGGGAGTAACAGAATTTAGTTTTAAACTTCCTAGAATGTCCACTCCCTATGTATCTTTCAACTGAGTTCTTAATGATTGTCCTCTTTTCATATTTTTGTCTTGCTACAAGATTCCTTTAAATGCTCTACCCCCTTGTGTCTTCAGCTGTTGGCCTTCAGAGCATCACTTGACAGAGACTGACATGAGGAACCACTCCCAATGTAAAAATCAGGTACCTCTGCTCAGAGGATGGCTGGTGAAAAATGAAAATGGAATCTTTCTCGAGTTAGAATATGAGACGGTAGAAAATTTTCTTAGCTTGCCTGTGTTTAGATTGTAGATACCTTTTCAGTAATGCATGAGTTGCTTTAAGTAAGATTCACTTGTCCTACAGGGTTAGGGCATAAATTGAATGCCACATGCCCTGTTTTTCTCTAGCTTTGGGTCCTTAAAACCTGTCTATGTTTTTACCACATACCACTTGGCTTGCTGAATTCAACACCTCTTCCAATGCCCACTCCTCCCCGAGAATCTACTCATGGAAAGTGTTAAAGAGAAATGTGGACTTTCCTGAATATTTCATAGAGCAGACCTAGGAGGAGGTTGGCATAGCACACCCGTCAGCAAATGGCTTAAAATTGTCCCTTCGCCAATTTATTCTCCCAAGTCCCTCTCATCCATTCCACGACGCCTGGGTTTTTTTTTTTTTTTTTCTTCTTTTCAATCTTTTTTTAGTCTTTCTCTGAATTCCTACTCCTTTCTTTTCTCTCCTCCTTCTTGAGAAAAATGCAAAATTTTTCTCCAGTCTTTTGCACAGCAGTTAAAAGTCCCTTTTCCTTCTGAAGCATAACCTCAAGAGCTCACACTTCAAGTCAAATGGTCCTTCTTTCAAACAAATAGGATGTCCCTTCGAAAGATGATGGTCAAATGCAAAGATTGATGTAATTAGAGAAATCCCCTGGCTACCCAAGTCAGGAGAGGAAGTTGCTATTGTTCAGAAGTCCTTTTTGCCATCTTCAGGGTCCTTGTTGTCTATCGACAACTTTGTGGGCCTTAAAAACTCTCCACAGAAATGGTTTTCTGAGAGGTGTTTGAAGCAGGGAACAGAGAAATATCGTGTTGGAGATGGCAGCAGCTATTCCCTGACCAAGTGACCACATCACCTTGACCATTGCACGCTGGTTGAGCAACAAGTGCACGCACACACTTCCTGACAAGAAACAAAGGCTATCTGCTGTTGACTTACTGTCAGTCTTAACTGGAATGGAGTCAAGCCTGCTCAGATGGCCTCTTAGATTCGGGAGGGTCAGCTGGCAGTTCTTTTGTTTCGCATTTTAGATCCTACAGTTCACACCATTTGGCAAGGTACCCTGAACCTTGTCGTTCAATTCTGACTCTGCTAAAGTGACATGCAGCCAGATGAGGTTGGTTTTATACTGGTGTGGGGGCCTTTCCTTGAGTTGGGGGCTTCTGGAACACTGCCTTGATTCTTAGTTCGCAGGTCTGTGATGAGGGAGCCTGGTCTCAGATGGAAGAGACTTTGGAGAGATTCAAATCCAGCCCCTTCATTTCTCGGACGTGGATCCTGAGGTCCAAGGAGGGGAAAGGGGTAGCTCCAGGTCATGCAGTGAGTTAGTGGTAGGGCTGGGGCATAAATCGAGCCCTTCTGCTTCTCGTGGGGGACTCTGTCCACCACACCACATTACTTCCCTGCCTTCTGTCTGAAAGATACTTCACTCAAAACAGTTTTGACTCTGGAGCTGTATCTTCCCAAGAGACAGAAGGAGAAGCGTAGTCTTGAACCCTTTGTGGTTTCAGTCTTGGTCTAAAGTTTTCTGTTTGCCCAAGTGTTTGGATGGAGGAAGTACTGTATGGTGGAGAGCTGCTTTCTTCCTGAAGGCCAGGAGAATGGTTCAGTCTGAGCTACTGTATAAGAAGATGGACAACACATTCTCAAGAGGAAAGGTGTTTGTATCCACATACTGGAATTTGTCCACCTTCACTGATATGGTGGTGTTGACCTGGAGGTGCTCCAGCAGGAACTGAGAGAGATTCTGGTATATGTTTTTGCTTTGTGCTCCAGACTCACACACCGTCACCAGTGTCTGCTTTTTGACATCTTTGTTGATGAGAAGCTCCAACTTCAGGTCGACAGGATGTTCTGGGCATTTCACGAGAAACTGCAGTTGGCAGATGATGAAGTACCAACCTGGGAACTGGATCACCAGGTTCCCATCCTGGTATCTGACTCCATGGACAATGCCATCTTTGTTCCAAGACAATTTGGTTTTGTTGATGTGCTTTGACGCTGGAAAGAGAAAGACAGAAAAATAGAATTATTGGGCAAATTTCGGGTGCAGATTGGAAAATTTGAAGTCTTTCTTCAAGGTTCTCCACTCAAGACCCATGTTTTCTATAATATTGGCTGCTATTCCAACTGCCTGGAATATCTTCCATGTTATTCCTTCTAGATGCTGCTTAATAACCAAAGCACACGTACAAAACCATTATTCTCCCTTTTCTCTAATGCTTAAAGCTGGAGGATAAGAACACACACGATATTAGATCTCTATCTCCTATAGAATTGTTTTGCACTGAATTATTACATTATGTTATTCTCTTCTTATTATAATTACTATCTTCTCCTTTCAGGGTATAAGCTCCTGAACTGTATTCTCCATAAGTTCCAGACTATCAAGTTCATTTATTCAATCAGTCAATGAACATTTGATCAATGAGGGACTACTGTTTGGCAGACATTGCACAGAGTATCAGAGCTAGGACATCCAATTTTCTTCAATTAGTAACCAATTTAGGCACCAAGACGTCCAGGAGAATCTCAGACTGTGAACTTTCACATTAAGATGCATCCTTTAACCATTCATTGTCTGAATTTTTGAATGTCTTCCTCTCTTTAAAAGGGCAGCCAAAAAAATGTGTGTAGACCCCTGAAGTGCACATTAACAGGCATTCCTCAGCCAGGATTATTAGAAAAGCAGAGAATTAGCAGACCCTCTAAGCTGATGTGTTCGTGTCGGAAGCCAAGTCTCTCTGAGACCTGATAAATGAATATCAGCGCTGATGGGTCAGGGTGACTTTCAGAGCTGGGAAGCTGGTGTGTTAGTTTTAATTACTTCCATGGCTTCCCTTTAAACCTCGCTGCAATTCAGCTGAAGAGTGAGAACTAATCTAACTGCAAAATTGAATTTTTCAAATGAGCAGAATGGCTATGCAGCGCATCTTGGCCATCTCCTCCGTATCTCATCTTTCCCAGTGTAAGGGCCTCTGATTATTTCATTTATGAGGGTCCTCTTTCCTGAAGCGTGCTCCAGTATGCAAATAGGCCCTGTGCCAGCATGTTCATTAAGCTGTCAGTCTGGGGACAAGGCAATTTTGTGGATCCCTGGTGAATAACCTGACAGAGACAGAGATTAGAGCCTGCTTCCCTTGCATGAGGAAAAGTACTGTGCACTTGGTCCACAACTTGAACTTGGCTGAATATAGAGAGGTGGTGGGGGTGGGATGTGAATGACTTCAGAGGCTAGGGACGCAATATGAGGGAGTGAATGAGACTGAGGAAAGAGGAGCTTGTATCTGGAGAGAGTAACGCTCTCTTCTTTCCCCCTCAAGGCATTAAAATTCAAATTACAAAAATATCATGCAGCCTAAACAGAACCCACAAGCATGTCCATTGGCCATGGGATTCCCCTTGTGACCTCTGGCTTAGAAGTTTCAGCAAGGCCACAGGAAGTTGCCCTTATACGCTTACGGTTCCTAGATTTGGTTACTGACCTTGGAGGTAGGCCCATGACTTCTTGAACGGAGCCTTTTCCAGGATACATAAGATGTCCTCTGAGCAATTTCCTACAAATAAGGAGACCACATGTTAAGTATCTTTGCTCTGGAAACTGGAGACACCGGAGGCTTTTCCCTTGACGCTTTGATGGAGATGATAATTACTCTTCTGTTTCCATTTGGGGAGCAAAAGGAAAACTTGTTCATTTCTCATTTTGCCATCAAGGACCTTAGGAGTTTTTTCAATCGATTGCTTCCACTTGGGCTTTTACAAAAGACTGTGGAAGTTGGAGAAAGGAGACAAGTATGACCTGAGTTCCTATATGTGCCAGGTGTCACTCTTGTCACTTTACGTGTTTACATATTTCACCTCACATAATCTTGGCAGCAACTCAATGAAAGAGGTATTAGTAAGTCCCTTTGACGGATGGAAAATAGCCTGGGGACCAGAGAGATTAAGTACATTGTCCCACGTCACTCAGCCAGGCAGTGGTAGTCAGAACGATACAGCTCATAGTAATTACTGCTACTCTTCTTTTAAGAGTGTACCAGGTACTGGTCTGTGTACTTTTACAGAGTTCAGCTAATCTAATTCTCTGAATAACTCTGCAAGGTTAATCCTGATGCCTAGACATGGTCAATGATACAAGGTCAAGCAAGTTGAGGAAAACACTGAGATTGACTCTCATGTCTCTCTGATTCCCAAGGGCAGGTTTCCTCCTGGAGGCCATTTTACTAGACAGTGAAACTAAACACATTCTTACATTCACTTTTAAGAGGATATAGGATCAAAGAGATCTAAGCAGGGAGTCTGCTGTCTGGAGCTTCTCTGGCAGGGGGAAAAGACAACGTCTATGTCATTATGGTATTTAAGAAATAAAGATATTTTTAACGTATCCATTGGTGGTAGTGGTTTAGCTTCTTATTATAGTAAGTATTTTGTATGCAAAGAACCAAGTCATACATTTTCTGCAACGACTCATGAATTCAACTTATTCTGGGCAAATTCCTTCTCCTCTATGGACCTTGGTTTCCACGCTGTAAAACCGGAGATCTATGACCTGACGTTGACATTTTTTGGATGACGTCCCCGTTCATTCCATCCATCAGGGACTAGGCAGCCACAGACACATTCAGTGGAAGCAGCCACACCCTGGTGTGTTTGTTCACTGGATCTCTGAGTAGCATCTGTTGGGCTCACAATCTTCTCCATTGCTCTCTGCCCAGGCCTGAGATCCCTCTTAGCCTTCCTCACAGCGCCATGGGGCCTTGGACTGGTTGAAAGCTAAGTCAAGAGTTCCCTCTACTGTCTAAACAAGCTCACTGCTAGAAGTGAGAAGGGGGCGGGCAGTTTTCATCCTTAACTGCCCTCAACCCAGAAAGAGACTCTGGTCCAAAGGTCTCTTTGGGGAGGGGGCTTGGTAGACCAGCTGCCTTTCTCTTGATCACATCTCTCAGTCATTCTCCAACTAGTGTTGTGGTCCTGCCTATTTCAGGCCACAGCCCACGCTCCTGGGGTGTGTAGAACAGCAGCACAACACTGAGGGCTGCTTATTGTCGAATGCACCATGACTACTGTTTGAGAGTCCCCCTGGCCCGTCTTCCTCTTTTGGGGTGTGGAACATCAAGTCAGAAGGAATCGCAGAGAGGTGCATCTGACTGCATCTCTTCTCTGCTTGAAATCTCTTCCTGGCTCTGCTGTTCCTAGAGGATCAGAACCAAGCTCCCCTATATGGCATTCGCGTTCCCTTGTATTCTGATCCCTACTGACCTCTCTGGTCCCATCCTTACCTCCCTCTTTCCCTTGACCTCTCTGTGCCAATTACACTAATAGTAGCAGTAGTGCTAGTAAAAATAATGGCTAATACGTAGTGAGGGATGGTTATTTTCCAGGTACTCTGCTAAGCATGACACATGCATTATTTCACTTAATTCTCACAACCACCCCGTGAGAAAGGTACTATAATGATTTCTATCTTGTACATGAGGAAACTGAGGCTTTGAAAGTGAAATGACTTCTTGATATTCGCACAGCTGGTCAGTGGTGGAGCGGAGATTCAAGCCCAGGCTGTCTGACCCTAAGGCCCAAGTGGATTGCTGACCACTCTACTGGAGTTTGGGGGCTCGTGGTGCCCCCAAACACACCGTGTTGATTTGCCATTCCATCTTAACACCTGCTCTTCCCTCTGCCTTCACCGGACAAATCATTCTTTGTTTAAAGCACAGCCGGGCAGTCATCTCCTCTAAGAAGCCTGGTCTGACCCTTCTTTCTGTTTGCCTTTTTGTCTCCTCCAGTAGACCGTGAACCCTCAGGGCAGCGACTACTGTTTATACATCCACCCTGACCAGCCCAGAAGATGCTCAGTAAATGTTTGTTGAATTGGGTCATCTAGTCCATCTCTCCTACTTCCCTCTCTGGAAGTCAGGTAAGTTCCTATGGCGTGAGTGAGGTGATGGGGATACTGGCTTGCCTTTCTCCTCCAGGCTGGAATAACGCCTGGCCACATTCTCCCATCCATTCTACAGGTTAGGTTAGATTAGAAGGGAGGATAAGACTCATGCCCTGAGCTGAGGCCAGCGCATCCCATCCAGAACAGCTCTGCTCACTGGCCAGAGGCCCCCTCGCACCAGGCCACTTCTGGTGGCGTCTATCAGGTGAGCTTCTGTAAACAGGTGGCTGTGGAAGTACAAGCCTGGGCTTGCCTCTCACACATACAAGTTCTTTTTTTTCTTCCCCTTTGGTCTTTGCATGTTTGGTGGGTTGACCTCAGTTGTAATTCTGAGAAACCCAAGGATGGAAAAAAACACTTATTTTGAAGCATTTGCATTTCCTGAAGTCAAATGGCATGGCGTATTTTAGTTTTTCTTGAAGAACCTCTTAGATGGTTTCAAGCGAAAGGAAAAACACGACAGGCCCCTTTAAGGATGACATTGCTGGAGCTGGCTAAGGGAAGGGGGCTGGGAACCAGGATCCTGGAGGGCCTGTTGATGGAATGGGGCTGTTGAATCTGGAGAGGAGCCCCGAGGAGGGCACAATTGCTGGCCTTAACACCTGACAAGGCTGTCAGCAGGAAGACGGTGCAGGTTCCTCCGTGGGGCCCAACACTAAGGCTCCAAGTGGAAGTTTAAGGAGATGATGCCCTCAGCTAATAGCTACCACCGCTCTTGTCCCCATTTCTCAGATGAGGCCATGGGAAGACCTTCATGAAGGACACAGAAATCACGCTGTAAGGCACAGTGCTGGCAGCTCAAATGTTTGACCAGTTAGTGCTGCTCAAAGATGCACTGGGCTGCTTCCAGAGTCATGAAGCTCTTGTCAAGAGTGAGATGAACATTTCATGGGATACCAGCCACATGGCTTGAGTCTCCGCATCCCCCTGGGAGTCCATGATATGACTTTCTTTTTTGGTTACGAAGACGGGAAGGAGTAACATAAATAACTGGGGCTACATGTGGCTGGAATCCTGTAAGGTCCCTGGAATTTTTAATGCAGAGAACATAGGGAGCAAAAAACACTCCTGTTTCATTCATTTCCCAGCTGAATGTGATGTCTGGAGGGGTTGAGTCTGAAGAACTGAACGCTTGGGTGGGGGAAATGAGAACTGTCTGCAGGTCGTGGCTGAGTTGATGGCCTTGGAGTTAGAATTAGGAATTTCCCCTCTCTGGGCTCTCGTGTCCCTCGCTTGAGAAGAGCAGTGTGAATGTGATGATCTAGAAGGGCCCTGCTTGTTCTCTCAGGCTGTCTAGACTTAGCTGTGCACTGCCAGGCCTGCTATAAGGACGGAAAGTCGGTCCCAGCTCAGCCTGCCTATCTTTGTGGGCATGTTGATCTACCCCAGCTAGGAGACTATCTCCACAAATTCAGATTTCCAGACACCTGCAGTGGTAGAACAGAACATTTTAGGTCTGGGGACAATCTAAGTTATGAAAAGCCTGGGTCTGTGAGGATTTGTATGATTCAGAGAGATGGAAGTTCACTGAGAGGTTACCTGGTCCAGGCTTGGTAACCACATAACACGTGTGCTCCCCAATGCTACCCCATGGCTGACTTGTCCTAGGTCACCCCATGAGTTAGTGACAGAGGCAGGAACAGAGATCAAGATTCCTTGCCTCTTCTGTGGGGCATTCCATCTTTTGGACAACTCAAGTACTCTGTGAATTCTTCTGAGGATCAAGCCCTTCAGATGGGCAAGATTTGTAGTTGTTTTCCCAAGATTTGGCTTCCTCTAGAAGGATCAAGGACCTTTCTCTGGCTTTGTTTGGAAGCCTGGAGAGAAATATGTGCCAATGAAATCCTTCTGGCCAGTTGCACAGAAGAGAGAGACAGGGAGAGACAGATGTTGTTGAAGGTGATTGAAAGGATCACGTTGTGAAGTCAGAATAGTGGTAACCTGAAGACGGGACCCTGCCTTGAGATCTCAAAATGTTAGACCTGAAAGGGCCATCGGATGCCAAGTTAACCAAGACTCTAGTTTTGTGAGTGGGGTGACTGAACCCAGAGTGATTGAGGGTCTGACCCAAGACCCACTGTAGGTTTGTGGCAGAGCTAGGTTCAGAGCACTGAGCTCCTGGCTCCCAGTCCAGGGTTCTGTCCCCTGTTTTTTAGTCTTTGCATTGAGGCGGGAGGCTAAGTGTAGGAAGAAGTGGGTTTGCAGCCACCATCATGCTGGACTGAAAACTGATGAGGCAGCTGGAGGTGCTGGGAAAACAAGCACTAAAGAGCCTTCTGGGCTCCCTCTTGCAGGAGAATGCCAGGAGATGACTTTAGACCTCTGTGCTGAACCCTGCCAAGTCACCAGTCAGGGGACAATCAGGCTTCCATTAAGATGCAACAATGCCCAAGATAGCAAAACAAACCACACTGACCGTTCCGGTCAGATGGTATGTGGTCTGAGTGCCAGGAACCTTCCAGGTTGGTATCAGGACAAGACAGACACAGTGCATCTCAAATAGAGCACTTGGGTTCCAATCAAGGCTTTTAGCTTCTGACCTTTCCCTTCCTCTTACTGCCCCTCAGTTACTGCATCTATGAAGTGGAGATGGTAGCAATCAACCAAATGTATGGAAGT